AGAAAAATGTCACCATGCATGAAAACAAGGAATGTGCTCAATATTGTGAAAATTGTTCAAAACAAATGGAAAGAATTAAATACCTTATGAAAATCTTGTCTAAATTCACTATAGGAACTTCAAATTTTGATGTTCTTCTTGGTTCACAAATGATTGTGTTGAATAGAAAAGGAATAAAGTATGTTGGTAAGAATAATCGATTAAAAGCCAGAAAGTTTATTGACATAAGAAAACCCTCAATTGTATGTTTTTACTACAATCATCTAGGTCATGCATCAAATTCATGCTATTACAAGAATCATGGTGTTCCTAAAGGAAAGTTTAAATTGGTTCCTAAGAAATCATTGAAACCCCTTAACATGAAAGGAACTAAATTTAATTGGGTACCTGCCACTACTCTCCAATTTGTGTTGCAGGATAATCAAAGAGAAAATAAGTCCATGTGGTACCTAGAAAGTGGTTGCTCAAGGCATATGACTGGAGATACAAGCAAGTTCAACCATTTATCCTACAAAACCAGTGGACATGTCACATATAGTGACAATAATAAAGGTAAAATTCTAGACACTAGAAAGGTAAAAACCTCTTCATCTTTTGAAATAGAAAATGTGTTACTAGTGGAAGGCTTCAAACACATTTTGTTCAGCATTAGCCAACTATGTGACAAAGTTTTGAAGTAAACCATTATTTGATTTGTTGTGCATCATCTGATGAATTAGTTTTCATTAGTAAAAGATACCAAAAAACTTACATCATTGACTTTGAAAACACTTTTTGATTCTATTGTATTTTTTTTTTTTTGCTAAAAATGATAAACCATGGCTATGACATAAAAGACTAGCTGACAGTCATATGTCTCATTTAAACAAACTAAAGAATCTTGTTCAAAGACTACCTGAAATCAAGTTTGAGCAAAATAAACTTTGTGATGCATGTAAAAAGAAAAACAAGTAAAAATATCATTTAAGTCAAAGCAATATATATCCAATATAAAGCCACTAGAATTAATAATATGGATCTGTTTGACCCTTCTAGAACAAATATAAGAGGAAATTAGTATGCATTAGTACTTGTTGATGATTTCTCTGGATTTACTTGGACCTTCTTTATCTCATCAAAATGTGACATCCTAAAGGATTTTAAGAAATTTGCATTTATTATTCAAAATGAAAAAGAACTTAAAATCAAGTCAATTAGGAGTAACAATAGGGGTGAGTTTCAAAATAAAAACTTTGAAATATTTTGTGAAAACCATGGTATCTCACATAACTTCTCAACTCCTAGAACACCATAGTAAAATGGTGGTTTAGAAAGGAAGATCTTTGGAATAGTTAGAAAGAACCATACTAAATGAGAATTCGTTACCAAAATACTTTTGGGCTGACGGAGTAAGCACATGTTATGTACTAAATAGAACTCTCGTAAGACATGTTTTGAAACTCACACCGTATAAGTTGTTTAAAGGTAGAAAACCTAACCTATCTCATCTAAGAATTTTTGGCTATAAATTCTTTTGTGTTGAGTAATGGTAAGATAATATTGAAAAATTTGATAATAAGGTTGAAGGTATATTTGGCTATTCCTTGACCAACAAAGCTTTTAAAATCTATAACAAACGTGAACACTATAAAAGAATTTGAACATGTTATTTTTGATTAATGCATTGATAGTATAACTAATATATTATAACTCACCAATAGTTTAGATGTAAATGAACCAAATACAAATGAAAGGAATTGAAAAAAGTTCAAGAAAAAACAGAAATTAGATGGCACTGAAAATGAAAATTCAAGCAATTTATCCGAGGACCGGAAAATATTAATCTATTTAAATACCTTAATTAGAAGCATATGCCTTGAATATATTAATTATTAGTCAAATAAGATTATAAAAAGAAGACTAAACCATGGCTAAAAATATCTGTAACAATTAAAGATTGTAAAAATTATCAGATTATAAAAAGTTATCTTATTTAATATAATTATTTTATTTAATTAAAGATGGTAAAAAATAATTAAATAACTTAATGACAGTCAAACATGTTGATAAGAATGATATTTTTATCTATATAATCCTTAGAAATTCTTGAAAAAGGAAACCATGTCAAAACAAATATTTGCTAAAGATTTTGGTAATGTCTGGTAAGAGTAGTTAAAATCATAAAACAGAAATAAATAAATAAAAAGCTATAAATGCAGAATTCCAAATTCAAATTTTAAATATTAAATGTTAGATGTTGAATGGAATTATTTAGGAAATGTTTTCGTAACGGCTAAAATTCATAAAAATGTGCTGCCTAATTTTATCTAAACCCTGTTTCGCCCCCCAACATGAATTAAATTAGTTAAATATCAACTATTCCATGAACTCCTTGATATAAGATACTATTAATGGAATTTATAAATCAATAAAACTAATTAATTCATTATATTTTGTTGATTATTTAAAAAAATGTTATCATATATTTAATGATTTATAGATTTTTTTTCACATTGATAAAAATATATATACTCAAAATATTTAATAGAGATAAGTAAAAAAAGCATATTAATATATAAATAAAATGTAAAATACTTTATAAAATTGACAATTAATCTATCCTAAAAAATGAATAAAAAGCCAATGAAATACAACATCAAACACATGTAAAGAAAGAAATGGTTACCATTCAATTAGTATATAATATTTCGGTATATTTAAATTTATTTTACAATAATAAATAACCACTTTTTAAAAATAATTTTTATTGGAAAAAATAACTATATATTTTTGTATAAAAGAACATTCATGTGCTTTAATCCTCATCTGTCACCTTCATATAACAATTAAACACTAAAATTAAAAGAGATAAGTATCCTACACCTCATTACTTCAAACAAATATAATCTCAAAACATGCACCACAGATGTACCTACAAAAAAATTAGTTTAAGAAAGAAAAAAGATATATAAGTGATCTCCTACTTTTGCACATAAATACACATGATTTCACTTCTTAGTGAGTCATTTCTAACATAAACCTTTGACTTCTTTTGTAGCAACATGTTTCCACATAAACATAGTTCGTCTTGATTTTCGAATAGTGTGAGCTTCAGATAAGGCAATTGTGTCCCTTCTACTTCACATAACCTATCAGCTTCATTTTATCTTCACCAGTCATATCAGTAGTCATACTATGTAAAAAAAATATTTATACTCAAAGATTAATCAACATTTAATATAAATTTATTGATGTAACATGAAATCAATATGAGTATCATTACTATTATATTAATACAGAGATAACGAAGTTGAATTTTTAAAATATTATAAGTTGAAGTCATCATATGATAACTTTACTTAAAAAAAAACTAAAAATTTTATTAAAAAAAAAACTACAGTTCTATTATATAAGATAATATTTACTAGAGTTAGTTTTTTAAAAATAATTTTTTATGTTGAATTTATTTTAAATTTTGATTAAAATAAAATAAAGTTTTTATTTTATTATGTTTTAATGATATTTACTTTTTGGATTTGTATTTAATTAGCTTAATATTTAAAATTAAAATAATTAATTGAATTGATTTTTTATTATTTTTATGCTATTATGTTTTATTTTCATCTATTTTTTTGGAATTTTATTTAATTAATTTAATATTTAAAAACACCCACAAACACTAATAAAACTGCCAAATGTGTGTTTGGTATTGCTCCTTGTTGAGGGATTTTCAGAGACCGAAGTGTTGGAGTGCTTGGTTGTTTTGCACAAAATATTGACTTAAACTATGCATTACATGCTGAATTGTTGGAAGCATTGATGGAATTAGATTCATTTTGGTCATCCGATATTGGTAACTTGGAAGATTATAAATAGATGGTTTAATTGTATACAAATAACAAAAAAAATATGAACTTTTAAGGCAATAGTTGTGGAGAAAAACTTGCCTTACATGAGGCAAAAGAAGGGTTTGGTGGATTTAAATTCCTAATTTACTATGAAAGATTTCTTTTGCAGGTTTCATCTTCCTAATTTTAGATAGAACCTCTGAGTTTGAAACTTTCTTTTTTACCTTTAATTTTTCTTCTTCTATCTTCAAATTTTATTATGATATCAAATATGTCATTTTCGAATATATATATATATATATATATATATAATATTGTTTATCAAACATATTTATTATGGAATGTGCTATTGATCCTAACATCTCAAAGTTATTTTTCAGAAGAAATTTCAAGTACAGTTTTTTTTTTCATATTTAACTTTAGTTTTTCTTTTCTTTCTTTCATTCTTGTTTTCGTGTGTTTTCTTTTTTATACGATTGTTCTTAAAAATTTTCAACAAGAATTGTCTGAATTCGGTATTTATTTTTATTTTTTGATATGCTGATGCTTTTGCACACCAATTTTACAAAGAAAGTTATAAATGTTGCAGAAAATGTTTAATTTCTTTTAATTATTTATTGATTTCAACCCAAAAACATGTTAATGTGGAAAGTCAAAATCTTGTAACTTTTAGAAGAATTCTGAAAACTTTATTCTTTTAGTTCGTTACAAAATTTTCTTATTAATTTTCATTTTTAATTTATTTTTAATATTGTCTAATAAAGCTTTTTTTTCAAGAAGAAATGTTAACTACTAATAAAAAACAATGTTTACTAAAGTGAACATAAAATATCAGGGAAGATTGCATTTGGAAATCATGGCCGAGAATATTCCGTGTTATTTTACTTTAAATCCCATAACTTCCCCTAAATCCTATCTAACAATAAAAGAACAAAAGAAATTTGATATTTTTTAAAAAAAAAATTTGTTATCTGACTGATATTTTTTAAATAACGTTAACCTGTCATTAATTAACGGTTACAACAAATTTATTTAATTTCCGAATTAAAAGATTTAGTGATAAAACAATGTTTATGGAAAAAATATCACGATTGATATTATTGCATATTGTACCGTTGGTAAAGGTGTACTCATTCAAACCTAGGCATTCACACTTCTGAATCACAGAATCAATTAAACAGTTCAAATCACTTCATTAAAAGCAAACACAGGGAAGCATAGGATTATGGACATACAACCAATTAGCATATGGTTCTTTTGGTCAAGACATCAAGAAACCTAAAACACCAATTCCCAAAACCCAGAATACAAGGTCAAATAATATAATAACACATCCCCACTAAAAATTAATTAAAACAAAACAAGACAGTATGAAGATAAGTTAGACCTAATAAATTATACCAGGGCAATGCTGCTCTCACCACCGGGTGGCTTCCGTACGCCACCTAGGTAGTCTCTTGCTTCTACCTTTCCATCAGCAAAGATGTTGCTGCCACTCATCTCTCGTAGTTTAGCCCCACTCAATGATTTCTCAGCAGATGAGGGTGCCACATCACCTTTGAATATGTCATTCCCAGAAAGTTCTACATATTTCTTGTCATAGATCTTCTTTGCTGTTTTCATTGGTTCCCCAGCAGCGTTGGTTTCGCTTTGATCTCCATCGGCCTGTATACCAAGATAACACAAACCACTTATTTAAAGATGCCCAATGATAAATGCTAAACAAAAACATCATTGTATGCACTATGCATGAAGAACATCAACTCTACTTCCTTGTAAGATCATTGTAGTGACATATTTGTCTAAACAATGTATGCCCCCACCAATCCAAATTTTCTTCACTCACAAGAGATGGATATGGAACCCAATCTTGCAAAGGGGGAAGAGTGCTATGCCGACCAGAGTTGATTAACAGATGCACTCTTTTGCCTTTATGTTTATTGAAGTATCCAAATTTTAAACTTCTCGGGAGAATGATAAAAATATGAAAAATATTCACCCAAATAATTCAAGGTTAGCAACTTAGAGTGGTGCATACATGACGTTCTCCAATGCCTATGCTCCCTTTTAACTCAAGTATGCGAGGAGTTATTGGACTGGGTTTGATTTCTGGTGGTGGAGCAAATATGTCATGACCGCTGAGCTCCTTGCACTTCGCATCAGAAAGTTGCTTTTTCAATATAGAGTCTTCACTTTCCAAAGTTCCACTTAGCTCACGCTGCTTGGCCACCTCGGGCAAGGAAGTTGGTTTTTTTGGAGAAATACTCTCCTCATCACCAAAGGAGATATGGCTGATTCCAGCAGTCACTTGCTTTAATTCAACAGTGAACAATAAAGCTCCAAGTTAGCAAAATTTAATGACTGACACAATATGTAAAAGCATCTGTGTTCACGCATGTTTAGACACACAAATATAAGTACCTGATACATACGTACTCCAGTCTTATTTGGGTTCGTACTGCCAGCTTCTGAGGGATCGTCTTCTCCATTGGCTACAAATATTCCACTACCAGTTATCTCCTTCATCTTATACTCCGAACAAGGCTTTCTGGAAATTCCACAACTAGATAATTTCAGGCGCAACACTGCAAAGTTGATCTAGGATTCATAATACTGCCTCCCGTCCTTTTAATAAGGACAGGAAGGAATATGACTAAAAATTTAAATTCATATTCATTTTAATTAAGTCTAGAATCATAATAAAGTAGGTACAAGAAAATGAAAAACACAAATATATAAGAAAATTAAATCAATGCTCTGTATTATACTTCTCTATTTTCAGGCAACCTCCAAGACTGGAACAAAGGGAAAGGGGATAAAAAAATAGACGAATAAATAGTGTTTTCTTCTCTCTGAGACAATGTATAGTTGGAACTTTCAGTGATATGACCCGTTTCCACAAAAGAGTAATAATTGGTAGCTAACAAAGTGACGGTGAGGAATTAGAACACAGAATATGAATGTGCTAGAGTTGTGGGTTTTGCAGGGACAAGAGCGAGAATGAACATATCTTGAATTTAATTTCTCGTCACAATTCAAAAACAGCCTGATGTTGTAAATGTGACTTCCCCACACTAATGGTAGGAAATAGTTCAATTCATCAGTTCACTTTCTAAAACAAAGAATAAGACGTGGTGAAAATCAGGAGGAGCAAGAAAGCAAGGTTCAAAGATAGATCTGATAATCCAAATCCAACAAAATCAGTCAATCTCATTCGCCCCACTTTCAAACACCCGCTTCAATTAAAGGGGTCAATAATAAAATAAGATTGGTACCAAAAATAGAAACAAATTATTGATCATACATCAATGACAGAAACAAATGGTAAAAATATACAGAGCCACGCACAAATTGTGCATATCTTAGAGAAAAAAGAACTAGCCCCTTTTGGAATTTCAAAACAAGACCAAATGGGTTACAAATTTTAATAATAAAAAAAATTATGAGAGAGAATGGACTAGATCTCACCGTTTGTTTAAGCTCTCGACTTCTTCGTCGGTGACCTGACCCCCAAATACGACCTTCCTGATCCCATCGGACGGCTGAAATTCCCCAATAGAAGAAAAATAAATAAAGAAATTTTAACAGGAGCGAAAGAAGAAGGGTAGAAAATATACCTGGTGAGAACGAGAGGCGGAGGAAGGAGGAGGTGGGGAATCAGAAATAGGAGTTTCCGACCAAGTAAGCAGATCTGCGGTTGAAGTGTGTGGCTTCCTCACCGGAGTGCTTCTCTCCATATTGCTGAGTAATGCCCTGCTCGACCAATTAATCAAACCTTATTAGCTATCACTCATTCCTCCATCCCTCCATCTCCAGTCTACAAAATCTCCCAATAAAACAAAACACAAGAAATGACAACAAGAAAATGGAAGGGGGGACCGTGCCTGTTCCTGGGTGCCCGAGGTCGTTATGTTAATCTTCAGCCAACAAATGACGACGATGACCTCCCGATCTCCAAGATTCTTTTTGTTTGCTCAATGGTAGAGAGGAACACAGCAGAAAGTAAATTTATTTATATATATAAGGGCAGGTAATCTTAATGGGTAGAAAAAGAGACTGGTGTGTAGAGTAGTACAAACAAAGTAGAAGCTACTCCTCTTCTGTTTCAAAACAAAGCAAACGCCAACCAAGCATACACACTTTCTTATATAACCCTTCCGTTATCTTTCTTTCAACTTTTTTTTTTTTTTTTAATTTTCTTGTTAATTACCATTTACACTCTCTCTCTATTTTTGAATCTCAAACAACCCTTGTATATTTGTATTTTGTAACTAGGGACTGTAAGCATGTGCGCCGCATGTACCGCCACATGTCGGTTGTTACAAGGGAGCACAGTAATATTACTTCTTTGCCCTTATCGCAAATGCTACCCTTTTTTTCTTTTGTTTCCCTTCTTTAGCAAATCACCCACCCACTTTGTGACGATGATGATGAACTCGATCGATCTTACCTTTTTTTTATTTATTTCGTACTAAATTTAGTCAAAGATTAACCACATAAGCGAACTGCTACTGAAAGCATTGATGTAAAAGGAAAATAATGTAACATTTATGGATTTGATTATGTCATAAACATGAATTTTTGCTATAAAAGAGATGGAGGTGAAAATTAATCAACTTTATTAGAAAATGGTAGGTAGTGGTTTGAGAAGAATAAGAGTGTATGTGGGTGGGTGATGGTATTCCTCTTTGGCAGGAAACAGAAATGTGGGTGGTCTTAGGGTTGTGGGCAAATTGGCAAATAGTGGGTTCTACAAAGAAGCAATACACATTCCATGGGATCAGATATCTCGTGATGTTCATGTGCAAAAAGTCAAGGTCTGCCAACTAATTTGTGACTTTATAAAATTTTATTCTTCGGAACACAAGGGGAGTCATTCAATCAAGTGAGTTTTTTTTTTTTCAGAATTGTGAGATTTAGCTTCAATTCTCTTTTATTATATTTCAGTGAATCATAAACCATTCGTGGGACAGAAGCAAAAAACATGAAAAGGTTTCACGTGTGGCAAATGCCCATCTCTCATCAACTTTGTGATTAATAATTATCGACTCCGTGCTCTCAAAAATCAAAATCCCCTCCTCACATGCTCCCAACACAAGCTTTACCTTTTCAGCTTTTCTCTTCCTTCTTTGGAAAATTTTCAGTCCAGAATAAAATTAATAAATATAGTAAATGACAATGGCCAGGGTATTTTCGTCTCTCACTATAATTTATGTGATTGTTGGAATGTAACGGTATCCAACCTAACGATAAAGTTATCCGTTAGAAAGCAAACTCCAACCGGCTGCTTGTAACGCTTATTTCTCAAATATTTCAAATTTTAAAATTCTTATGTAACTCAATTACACAAATCTCTTTTCCACGCTTTTCTTTTTATGTTTTAAAACGTTGTTTAGGATGAGGGTGAAAGTGACGTGTGCTTTTTTTTACATAATACTAGTGACATAAGATTTTTTTTATAAATTTAAATTAAGTAAAATACTTTTAAATCTCTTTGTGTATCTTGAAATTTGATTTTATCCTATTTAAAAATTTAGTGTGCCTTGGGAAGTGTTATGTGACCTCTTTTACTCTTAACCCCAGCTTTAAAAATAAACAAGGGAAAGTTACTGTTGTATCCCTAATTTTTCATTTCTTCTCACTCCTATCTTCAAAGTTGCGAGGTAGCAACAAAATAGACCCAAACTTGTTGTATCATTATTTTATATTATCCTTTTTATATAAGTTGAAAATTATCGTTTTATTTTATATTTGATTTTTCAAATTAAAATGTGATACATAATTAAAAATATTATTATATTGACTACTAGTTTTTAAAGTGCCTGTGAAGTATCAATATCTAATAAATTAAGATAATAAATTTAGAGCGTTTAGTATTTTTTTATAACCAGATAAGAAGGATACATAAAAACTTTTAAATTATATAAAAAGTTCCTCATAAAAAATAAAAACGTGTTAATAAATATTTTTTTTACAATATTACGTTGATAGAAACCGAACCTATGTTTCACATTAGAAAATCCAATAAAAATAACTATAAATGAAGTATAAAATGCATATAACTGTAACACTAAGAAATAGTAAATTTCAAAATATATTTTAGTCATTCATTCACTTTTATTAATATTTCATAGTTACTATCACAGTAATTAATATATTTTGTTCAGTCTCTCCTACATTAATTTGCATGTGTGACTATTCTCCTCTCATTAAGTAGTATATTTTACTCCCATAACATGAATCAAAGTATATGTTTTTATACTTTTAATAAAATAAATTAAGAAGCTATGATTGAATACGATAAACCTATTTTAAATATCTATTTCATTTTTAAAGTAGAGATACATTCCTAATATCAATTTTATATTTTTAATAACAACTAAACAATTTGGCAAACAATATATATATA